CCATCAGCACCTACCGCTGTCCTGCTGCGGCACCACAGAACGTTTGCCTTGGCCACAGCATATTCAGCAGCGTAAGAAACAGGCGGTACACCAGGGTGCTAGAGAAATAGGTTTATTTTCATTAATTCACTTATTACAATAAACTTTAGTACAGGATATTTAAGGTAGAGAACATTACAGCAGGAGTTGTTCCCAGTGGCCTACAGGCACACGCTACTTTACCTGACTGGGAGCGGGCACGGGAGCGCCGCTGCCCCGCGTGATCCGCCGAGCTCTGCCTGAACAGCCAGGGGAGAGGGCGGCTGCCGCGACCCACAGCGACACGGACCTGTGGGAGTATCCGACTATTAATGGTCTTCAAACGGCTCGTTGGTTCCACGTTTTACATTCCTGTTAGTGACGGGATTAGATCCTCGGGAGCACCTGTTTTATCAGACTTCCGCTCGGGACTGTCACATCACAGCCCTGATGTACACCCTAACGTAACGTGGACGTAGCTGCAAATACACCTGTGCCACAAACCACTTTAAATCTGCTTTTTAAAGCCCACTGAATGTTACTATCGCAAGGCTGTGTGCAAAACAACCTAAAAAGCTGCAGCGCTGCGACTGGCTTTGTCAGAGGCCGTCGGTGGGTGCCGGGACACGCGAGCTGAGCTGACGGTTCCGACTTTCAACATTCACTGTCATGGAGAGAAGTGACGCTGAACCAGGAGAGCAGCAGGCCTGGCACAGTCCTTCACAACCCACGCTAAAACGCTGGTGCATTCTCTTCATTTCTGGAGCGGCATCCTCCTGTGCGCAAGAGAGTTTTAAAGATACAGACAAACCCAGCAGGTATCGGGGTAGGTGTAAAACACGTGGCACCGGGGAATTACTGCCGGCGCTGGGCAGCGCCCTGCTCCAGGGATGCTTTGAGCAGGAAGACAGGGCACAGAACCTGCATCTTGTGGCACAGGGTCCACCGGGAACAGAGGTCCGATGGTCTCACGGAGGAGGAAAAACCCCACCCGACGTTCTTTCACTCGAGCCAGGCCAGAGGCAGCCTGCCCTCAGGGACCGAACCCACGCTGGGCTCTCGGGCATCGAACGAGCTCCACAAACCCAGAAAGGATTCCCAGGCGTCTGTCAAAGAACCACCTTCTGAACACCCGGCAAGCTCCGGCAGTCCAGGGCCACGAGGAACTCACAGGTTAGGGGCTAAATCGCGGCCGGCAACGCGGCTCTGCCCAGCAGCGCCACGGGG